AAAAAATCACTTAGATACTTAATCCATAAATATTAATATTTAGGACTGTCTATATGTAATTATCCCAAAAAATAAAACATTTCAAGTGAGGAAAGCTATACTATAAGATAAGCAAAATCGATATAATCATGTCCATTTGGTACATAATCTTGTATAAATTAAATCACATTAAAAAAAAAAAATTAGGGCACTTACATACATACCCCACAATTCTAAGATATTCATAATGCAACCAATTCCACTATATTAATACATAACAAAAAAATACTTATTACATAGGAGAACTACAAACAAGTGCAGAATTGCAGCCATAAAAAAAGAAAACCAATTGCAAGCCTATAATCTTCCTAAGGTTAGTGAAAACAAGTTCAGGTATGCTAGCTATATCTACAAATAAACAACTTTCTATAGTGAAAACTTCGAAGCTGTATCGACTTCGATCAAATGGTCGAGCTTCGATCGCTTTGGTATTCTGCATCAATCTTACAGCAAATGGCTGGAAAAACTGTTACTTGTTATGAATAGTGCAATAAGAATAATGGTTAGGTCGACACGCCGCGAGAGGGCTAATGAGTCAAGATCAGTCCTGAAAATAAAATGATGAGTCAGAGTCACAGAAAGAATTTCTGCATGCATTGTGCTTTGTTGATGAGAATAATAAGTCTTCAAAAAGGACAAAAAGGAACTGATACAATAATGGTGAAAATGGGTTTTAATGAAAAAGTTTAAGGAAATGAGTCGTCTATTTGATGCGGGATCAATTTTTGATCGAGAAAAGTGTTGAAACAATCCCCTGACATTTTTTAGATGTTTGTTTTAATCCCGGAGTTTATAAAAGTGTCAATTTAGTACGCAGACTCTTTTAATTGATGGCTATAATAGACATATCTAGAAACTAATTTGGCCCATATTAATAGTCTAGGTACTAATTTAGAACTTTTATAGACTCTATTTTGGGTTTATTGTTGATGGGAAGTCCAACTTATGAGTAATGTATTTTTATAGGAGATAAACAAATGTATCCGTGAAAGAGTTGGTGTGGCTACAACGACGGACAAAATTAGAGAGTCGTTTTAGATGGTTTAGTCACATTAAGCGTCAACCATCTGATGATCCGATCAGAAGAGCAAATGTTTTAGATGTGACTAGTGTTAAAAAAGGCAGGGTAGACCTAAAAAGATTTGGGCATATGATATAAAAATGATCTTAATTTATTAGAATTAAATGACAACATGACACCAATAAGACAAAATGGAGAAAAAGGATTCATGTAGGCAACCCCACTTAGTAGGACAAAGGCTTGTTGTTACCTACGTACAAAGAATGAATAAGGTGGCAAAATTGTCCGCACAATGTTTACATGGGGTCATTTTACGTAGAGTTTATAAAAGTGTCAAATTAGTCAAGAGACTCTTTAAATTGAGGTTAAAACAGCCCTCCGTGGTGATTATTTCATAGCATATTGAAAGAGTATAAGGACTGGATTGACACTTTATAGACTCTAGAACTAACATGACCTCCTACAAAAAGTCGATGAACTTTTTAACACTTTTCTCTATAATAGACTGATAAAGTTATCCATAACTAACTCCAATTATCTATCCCCCCTTCCAAAAACTTGAAACCAAAGTAGAATACATGTTCGGTGAAAGCATATTAGGAAAAGAAATTACCAGACAACATTTTAAAACAGGTTAGCAGGGTCAAGAGATGCAACGATCGGTTCCATCCGAGCTGCATGGCTCAGCTCCTTTGAACTTCTGCATCAGTTAATTAGCAACACATACCGCAAAATTTCTCACAGGAGTCAGTAAAAAAATGCCGGTTCTACGAAACTACAGCCACCGCATCGGACTCGAAAAACTGAGCCACAGAGGAATAAAGTTGCTCTACTTCGAATGGCTTCGATACATAACCATCCATGCCATACTTCACACACTCATCATGGTTTGCCTGGAATACATCGGCTGTCATTGCCAGTATGGGTATATGCCAATATGCAACATTACCATACATTTCCACCGACGCTTCTTTTGATTTGATGAGTTTATTGACTTTCTGCTCGGAGTCTCGGATTCGCCTTGTGGCTTCAAATCTGAAAAGTCAGTATTTATAAGTTAAAACATGTCAGAAAATGAAAAATGCATTAAATTCTAAGAAATACAGGTCATAAATTTCTTCTGCCTTTGAGAAACTATAAGTTTTTATAGTAAGTAGTATTAGAACATCTTGAGATTGTAAATATAGATGGCAGGTAGTTCTAGAGCTATTGCTTTGAATTTTGAGATTGTAAAGCCGAAAAAAAGCTGATATAGTTGCAAATTTTCTATCCCAAAGATTAGGAAGAATGTTAGGAAAAAAATTGCAAATTTTCTTCAGTGAACACAAGAACATAATAGTTCATATACCATTAAACGCGGATACGGACATGGGGACACAAAATCTCTTGCAGCTCATAAATAAAAAAAAAAAGAGTCATTTACACACATAGCACACAATTCTTATGTGTTTACAATATCTAACACCTAAACATTCATATTTTCATGCAAAACACCCAAATCTTTAACATCATATCAAAAATACCATGTGAAATACACATTTTCATGCATAAGTTTATAACACCAAGTTGTTATAAAATGTAAATAACGAACTTTGGGTGTTAGATATGCAATTACATAAGAGTTGTGTGGTGTGTAAATTTCGCAAAAAAAAAGTGAAAAAAGAGTAAAACTTGAAATTACCCATCCATTTCAGGCATCTGAACATCCATAAAGCAAGCATCAAACTTGTGAGGGGGCTGAAGCAACTCAATGGCCGCCTTCCCACTCTCCGCGCATCTAACCATAGCTCCATATTTCTTTAAAGCGCCGGCGGCAACCTTGAGATTAACTAAATTGTCATCGACGACCAATATCTGTTTCCCATTCAATAAGCCCTTTAGCGTCGGCGGCTGCCTCGCTTCCTGATATCTCTTGTCACCTATTCCCAAAGCTCTCTGAAGGCAAGCCGTCATCATGCTTAAACGAAGAGGCTTTATGATGCTGTCAACATATCCTGCAGATTTTATATCATCGGCCTCCGAAGAGCTTAGGGAGGTTGACAAAAGAAGCATCTTTGGAATATTTTCGTGAGGCTTCAGTCGGCCATTTTGCTTGAGCTCGATAATCGGGTGAGTGAATGCCAAACCGGATCCTTCGCCCCAAGCATCCTTGTCGACGAGTACCATGTCGACATGTCCAGTGCCACTAGAGTTGGTAACGAGAAAGGGTTAGTGAAAATGAATACTGATTCATCAATAATTTACTTTTAGTGAGCCAAATTACCAAATTTCTTATGTATTTACATATCTCACAACAAGACTTTCATATTTACACGCATATAACTCAAAGGATGTTGTATGTATGTAAATATGAAATTTAGGTGGAGATATGTAAATGCATAAGAATTGTGTGCTAAATATGTAAATCTCCAAAAAAAATTCTATTTAGGCTCCAAAAAAAAAATCCCTCTAAAAAAAATTCTATTTAGGCTCCAAAAAAAAAATCCAAGCATGCCAAATAATGAAAAGAAGTTTATGACATACAAAACTGCAATGCATCATGCAATTAAGGGCGATCGACAATGGGTCTTAATTAGCTCGGTTTGCTAACTATTGAGTTTTATAGTGTATTCAAAATTTTTAAGGAGGATTTACATGCAAAACACTCAACTTCTATGTATTTACATAACAGACATTTAAACTTCAATTTTTACATACATGCCACTTTCCCTATACATAAAAGGTGTATTTCGCCTTTTAAAAGTTAAAATGATGACATTTTTTTATGAGAGAATAAAGGTTTGAGTAATGTAAAAGGTAAAGTTTTGGTGTTAGGCACGTAAAACACATAGGAATTGGATGGAATGTATCTAAATGCCCCCCATTTTAAAATTGATCTTAACATAATCATTTGCATGAACATATGTGAGATAGATACATATATGGCCTTTGTTGAGACAAATAAAATTAGGGTTGCTTACATACATACCACCATATTCTTATGTATTTACACGTCTAACACCTAACTTTTAATTTTTACACATCACATAAAAATATTATAATTTTAACTTTTGAAAAGTGACATACAACCTTTCATGCATTCCTAATGTAGCATATATGTAAAGAATAAAGTTTAGGTGTTAGAAATGTAAATACATAGGAATTAAGTGGCATGCATGTAATAGTCCATAAAAGTAAGCTTGCTAGTGTTTGTCGTTCAGAAATCAAACTAAAAACATCTCATCAAACCTCAACATTATACCAAACAATCCAACATAACAAGAACACCTATAAAATCAAATATATAGTACTCACAAACTAAAAATAAAAATAAAAAATTACCTTGAGTTGCAAGCATCCAATATCTTCGAGATGGCAGATTTTGGATTCATGGCAACTTCTACGTCTATTCCTAATCTCTGCAAGTGATACTTCGTAACAGCCGCCCGAATTCGTCTCCCATCAACAACCAATCCTCGCATTCCTTGAAAATCCGATACCATTATTTCCGACGGCTGCCTTTTCACATCAACAGAATTCCTCAATCCTTCCCTGAAAATGGCAGTGAACGAAAACGAACTTCCAACGCCGGGTTCGCTCACAAATCCTATTTCACCGCCCATCAGATCCACCAAGCATTTACTTATGCTCAATCCGATGCCCGTTCCACCGAATGTCCGCGAAGTAGAACTATCAGCCTGCATGAATGGCATGAAAATATGATTATGAGCATCATGAGGAATTCCGACACCCGTATCCTCAACTGTAATCAAAAGGTTAATTGTGTCATTAGATTCATTGTTGGGGTCAAATATTCTGAAGTTCTCCCAACTTTTGCAACTGTCGACCACATGAAACCCGCTTAATGAATCGCGTAAGGGATCTATGCTGTTTTCGACAAGATCATAGCATTGCCTGAATAAATGTTTGTCTGCACCACAAATTCTCTTGATTTCTTCAACCAGATGGACTGAAACAAAGATGTGCCCTTCCTCTGTAAACTGTAAATTTAAAATGACAAATTTTTAGAGATGGCAGAGTTCATGCAATAGATTTATGGAATTTTAGTAAATTTCATAATAAATCATAGCATAATATTACGACCCATATTTATACGGGCATTTACATACATATCATACAATTCTTATGTATTCACATATCTCTTACATGACACTCAAATCTTTAATATCACAGCAAAAATAGTATTATTTCCCTTTTTTTTTAAAGTGAAATACTCCTTTGCACCAAAGTGCTATGTAAGCAAAAATGTAAATACAAAAGTTTAGGAATGAGATATGTAAATACATAATAAGAATTGTGTGCTGTGTATGTAAATTTCCCAAATTTGTATTAAAGAAGAATATCAAGGAAAAAAAGTAGCAAACCTTAACAGAATTCCCAACAAGATTTGTAATAACTTGTCTGAAACGTCCAGGGTCTCCAATGAGAACTTCTGGCACTTTATTTGAAATGTAAACTGCCAACTACAGCAACAAAAATAAAAGAGATAAATAAAACCAAATATTAAAAAATCATCAAAATAAATTGTCAATGATAATCAAAAAATTGAAAGCTGAACACATTGGCTTTACCTCAATGCCTTTGGCTTGCGACTTGTCAGAAAATAGAGACAAAACATTATCCAAAACCGCACGAACATCAAAAGGCACAGCCTCGAGCTCAAGCCTACCGGATTCGATCTTAGCCTGATCGAGAACCTCATTTATTAACGAAATTAGAGCCTTCCCACTCGCCTGAGCCGTCATAGCAAAATCCTGCTGAGTTGCATCAAGATTCGTGTCCAGAAGCATCTGCAACATACCTGAATTGGAACCAAAAATAGAACTTTCTTGCATGAAATTTTAAAAAAGACAACATAGGAATAGAAAAGAATAATTAGAACGAAGCAACAGACCTAAAACACCGTTCATTGGAGTTCTAATTTCATGTGAAACAGTCGCCAAAAACTAAAATAAATAAAGAAAAAAGTTAGTATGTTAAGCATGAATGATGATAGTAATCACATAAGTTAGAGTGAAATAACAAATAAAAGCAAGATCCCTTCAAATATTGTAACGGAAATCAGTTAATAGTGTCAGATATTGACCCCCCGACATTCCGACTCAACCTGAACTTAACTTAAAAATTAGGGTGCACGTTGACCGTTTAACTTTTCGGCTGGGGTTATTAAACCGAAAACACGAAATTGACTCAAAATCAACCTGCCAACCCGAAATTAGCCCGAATTGGACACAAATGGTTATTCTACCTCGTATTAAATAGGTTATATGGGTTGCCAGATTGAAGGTGAGTCGAGTTCGGGTTGGACTTTCTTACTCATTTAACATTCAAGTTAGGTTATGGTAAATCAATTTCGGGTCCGACCCAAACTAAAACCGTGAACCCAATTTGACAGCCCTAGCGAAGATGTTTAAGAGAGAGTCATGTAAACTCATTCCAATGGGGAGAACAAAAGATCACCTGTGATTTTGCCACATCTGCAGCTTCAGCTCGAACTTTTAGCTCCTTCATTTCACGGTAATCATCTTCCACCTTTTCAATGCGATTAATAGCTGCATTAAATATGTGACCGACGAGTAAAACAATCACAGCAACACCTAATGATGTTGTTATAGCCGACCATGGAGGTGGAGGTTCGTGTTTGAACCTGAACAAATAAAAAGCTCCTAATTAAGGAATTGAAGTATAAAGTGCCCAAAATAGTCCCATGATAATTTACATGAGGCTATTTTAGTGTTGGAGTTCATAAAAGTGTCAAATTAGTCATCGTGCTCTTTTAATATGAGCTAAAATAGTCCCTATGACGAACTATTTTAGCCTCCATTACAAGAGTTTGGGACTAAAATAATCCTTTGCAAAGAATCAGAGAATTATTTTAACATGCCTCTCAACATAGTCGTAAGCATGGTAACCAATGTATACCTGCAATGCATTGCGTGTCTCCTCGTCGGATCACCAAAATCTACAGTACTAATATAGACCTCACCTCTACCATAAACATCATCAGGACCATACATCTTTATAGAAGCTGAAGAGTTAGTGGTGTCATACACATTAACAATAATAGTTTGCTTGCTTGCAAGCTGGTGAAGAAGTTTCTCTACCAAAGAAGCAATATCAAATGAAGCACCGAGATACCTGAGACATTCAATAAAAGCGAAATCAGAATTACGAAAATTAAATATACAAACTTCTTAGGGAAGGATACAAAAATAACTAACCCTACAGTAGAATCAATACGCTCCTGCACCGTAGCAATAGGGGAAAGATCATTTTTATACACGGCAAACGTCAGCACTACTCCAAGTTTATTGGATTTCAGAAGCTTAAATGGAGAAGTTAGAACACCTTTCCCTGATGCCCTGGCCCTTAATATGTTGTCATGATCTTCCTGGGGAAGGGGGAGCAGAAGTAACTATAAGATTTAATACTATAAAATTTCCTTATTAGTGTATTAAATATTTTATTCTATTCCAGTAGCATATTGAAAAAAAATATATAGAGAAAAGTTTCAAACTAGTCTCCTGATTCTTTGCAGGGGGCATTTTAGCCCCAAGATTTATAAAAGTGTTAATTTAGTCCCCAAACTCTTTTAATATAAGTTGAAATAGTTTTCAGTAAGGACTATTTTAGCTCACAGTAAAACAGTTTAGAGACTAATTTAGCACTTTAATAAACTCGAACACTAAAATGACCCAATATTAATAATCAAGGTTCAATTTTGACAATTTCCTCAAACTCTATATAAACCTGAGCTTACCTTCCCAGACATCATATCAACCGAGACAATGTGTGATACAGTTTCCTGAGTGAAGATAACAGGTGCATATTCGTCTTGAACAGGTGAAGGGTCAAGCTTGTCGGGAGCATAATCGTCTTTAACAGGAGACTGATCCTCAGTTTCCATCTTCTTTATCCTCCATCCATGTTGTTTCTCAAATTGTTCGCGCTCTGAATGCAGAACTTTTAAAGCATAGGCCACGCCACTGGTCAACGGACGTTCAAAAGCAGTTCTGGCAGTATATTCTGCGAAAGTTTTCTACAAGAAAGAGGAAGGGAAAGTAAAAATTTGTTTTAAATATTATATTTACATACATACCATGCAAATCTTAAGCATTTGCGTATCCAACACCCTAACTTTCATATGCACATGCCGAGCACTCAAATCTTTAGCATCACATAAAAAAATACCACTACCACACAATTATTAAAACTGAAATACACATTTTCATGCATAAGTTTATCACACCAAAGTGTTATGCATGCAAATATGAAAGTATAGTTGTTAGATATGTAAATGCATAAAAATTGTGTGATATTTATGTAAATTTCCCAAATGGGATGGTGTGAAGTGTAAAGTCCATATTAATTAATTTAGATAACAACAAATGTTGCTTGGACCCTACTTATAATAACTTACCTCATTTGAAATGATAAAAGTCATATAACTACTCTTTAAATCGAAAAAAAAAAATCATAAATGTCAAATGATATCTTAAACACTAATAATTGACATGACGCAATAAAAAGTAATGAAAAATATAATAATTTATGATTAAACACTAAAGAAGGTGCTCAAATTCACTAAATGATTATTGAAAAGTTGACATGCATGCATCACAACACATACACAGAGGAGATATTTCCAAATTTCGACATGTAATTTATGTCAAATAACAACTCCAGCTAAAATTCACACACAAGTAAAGAAGTATGATGCCAAATACAGCAAACATCAACAAACTAATCAACTTACTGAAAAATCAGTACTGAATGCTATAAAAAAGGAAACAAAAATACTAAAATAGTTATTTCAAATACATTCATTAATATATATATATATATATATATATATGGAGAGATGGGAAATTTACATACATATCACACAAATTCTAATGTATTTACATATCTAATACCTAAAGTTAGACATTTATATTTATAACACATTGATGTTAAAACTTATGGATGAAAATGTGTATTTCACTTTCAAAAAGTTAAGAATAGTGGTATTTTTTATGTGATGTCAAAGAATTGAGTGGCATGTATGCAAATATGAAAGTTTAAACAATAGATATGTAAATGTATAAAAATTGTATTGTATGTAAGTAAATTCCCCTATACATATAAGAGAAGTTTAATCAGCAGAGGCACCTGATCAATGGCAGAAGGATTCTTTCCATGGTGAAAAGTTGAAATCAGGATAGCTAAAGCATTGACATGGTTCAAGCTCACGTTAAATTGATCTTGCAGCATCCGAGCTCTCTCATCACACATATTCGCCAGAGTCTCCTTCCTCCTCATAACAATAGTCGCATTCATGCTGAAATAAATCCACACAGAGACCGACGTCCCGAGAAAGATTCCGAGACATAGAATTCTCTTCCGCCAGCAGCCTCCTCCCCTCACATTCTGTGGCTCATATTGCTGCTGCTGCTGCACCACTTTTTTTGATGGGCTGAACAAATTTCTATAAATAGGCATTAGTTTGGAACTAAGTATGATGCCCATTATGACAAAACAGACTATCCAAAGCTTAGGGAGGTTTCTATTGAGTTCGCTCTCGCAGTTTGCTGAAACTATGGAGTTTAAAATGCTTACACAGCCCTGAAAAAAAAAATTAATAATGATGTGATGAAAAACTTTGCTAAGCTCCAATAGAGTTATTCACTAGCCTCAATGATTTCAGGGCATCATTGGAGTTATTCACAAAAAAAATCCATATTCATAAATAATATGTAAAGATGCATACTATGATAATAAGAAATGTGCAGTGAATGAAGCTCTTAACCCCTAAGAATGTAGCCATTAAATACATATTTTAATGAAAAAATCCATATAACCTTGTTCTTGCATTGAACAAAGATTAATTAGATAATTCGAGCCCATGACCTTGCTCAAACGAGATAAACTCGAAGAATGTTCATAGGCCCTCCTTTAAAGATGCAAATAAAAAATTCTTGATTTTCAAATGAATGAACACAAAACTCATGGCTGTCAAATGTAATCAAAATTCCATTGGTCCATAAATGACATCATGGTGGCTGATATTTTCCCAAAATCATCGCTCTCATCATTATAGGCTCTTGGGGCATAAATCTCATCACAGAGAATGCCATTGTCACTCGCCTTCATACAAACTCTCATCATTAGCAATTTCATTTGAATTCAAATAATTGTTTAACAAGATCAAGCTACAAGAAATTTTCACCATCCGATAATGAAAAGGATAAAATAAAAAAAATGAATTCTAAATTATGAGCTTGTTTCAAGGAAGTTTGAACTTCAAATTCTAATTTGAATTTCTTCTTTAAAGAAGTTAGTTTAGCAAAGATTGCTATATTTCTAGAAGTAGTAGGGGATATGTATGTTTGTTATTTAATCATGCTTGTTTCAAAGAAGATTAGGTCAAATTTAAATTATTTATTATTTTTTTGCCTATAAAAAGAATATTTCCTATAACAACAATCAATTTTAACTCTATGAACGCAAGCATTGTAACAACCACAAACACGCTAGCAAAATGAAGACCTGCAGTGACCGCCGCCACTGCAGCAATCTTGCAAATGAGAAGTCGGAGGCAAATACATATATGAGTTTCTTACATTAAGAAAACTCAATTAATCCTCTTTCTTTATGTCAATGTATGAAAGAACTTAAAATGATAGAATTAGATTACTTTTTCCCCTACAAATTCTTATCAAATCAAAAGTCCTTTTTACATCCATCTCTAAATCACTTTATGCCAACTTCAGAAGGGCAAATTAAAATTTTTTCAAATTTTTTTCAAATATTTACGATTTAGAGAAAACAGACTCACGCCGCTGGTGCCTCCTCACAAAAGAAAGACCATAAATGATTTCATCATTAATAGAAGAGTTTGATTGATAAAAAAATTAACGAATGATTCAACCAAAAACATTAAACTTATGAACATAAGCTTATACAATGAATTCCTTCCCCTTGAAAATTAAGGAGGCTCAAATAAGCACAGTATGAGGCTGAGCAGCCGCTAACTCTTTCCGGCTTTAACAAGAATGAAAAACCATAAAGGTTTTGCACACAAATGATAAAGAGAAGCAAAAAGCTTGTTGTGATTTTTGCAAAAACAAAATGATGGATAACCTATAATTATTAGCAAACACTATATATAGCCATGCAAACCCCTAACAAAGAGCTAAGATGACCCTCCACATAATTATACTGGGCACTATGTAAACATAAAACCCAAAGAATGATGCTCCTTGTTGCATTCATAATTATACGTCAAACAAGAGTAACAATTTTTTTGTCTCGTACTTAACCGTCAACGACCGGCCTACAACAATCAACTAACAAGCCTTGACAAGCAAAATTTTTACAAAGCCGATCTCCCTATGTCAACAATCTCCCTACATCATCAATCTCCTTACCCTATTCACCTACATAGAAACATCTATAGCATGCACCGGGCATCATATATTTTAACACAATGACGAACCAGTCATGATAACAAGTTCTCACATCGTTGTGACTCTGTGTGCCCACCTTAACCTTAAATTTATGAGCAGTGCTCGTTCTATGATTGGTTTGTGCAACTCACCTTAAAATAAACTTCAACTTTAGGAAAGGTTAAAATAGTTACTACACACTACTTCAACATCAAAGTTAGAAATGAAGAAAAGAAAGACAAAATAAGAATATATCCTCATCAATCCTCAACCAAAAAAAAGTCCGAATACAACCAATATTGTGTCCCATTTTTAAACAGCATCTACAGGACACCGATTAGCAAAAAGACATTAAATTTAAAATCATAGACACGTGCTTGTTGTAATAAGCTACTGTTGCATGGAAGAAACCAAACAAACTATATGGTCCCCACGAGCTTCCCCCATCTTAAGTCGCCTCGGCGCCCATAACACGAAAATGCGTAGCACTTCGTGTAGAGCTCTGTCGATGTGGGACAAATATATTTGATTCACACAAACAAAGAATGCGACTTCTGCCATTAAAGTAGACAAAAAAAAAAAAACAGACAATGATAGAGAGGAAGATGAAGCCTTTTGCGGTCAAATCACAATAAACAAAGGGAGGAAGGAAGAATCCAAGAAGGAAACAATGATGGAGAGGTAACAAGTACCAACTCCTATATCTACTACGAACTAATAGCGTTTAATAATAATATAAGGAAAACTTCCGGTTGAAGAACTCCTTCTGAAGGGCAAAGAAATGAATCCACTGAATCAATGATAAAGCAGACTCCTTTCAACTTCAAATAAGTTGAAAGTGCTTAAAAGTTGGAATCAGTACCTGATCTTCAGAGGAGAACAGCATGGCCATAGATTGAAGCTTGTTCTTGCTGAGACTAAACTGCTTTCTAAAAAGTTGAATCTTTTCTTCCCACAAAACCCTAATAAGCACCTCCTCCCTAGTCAAAATCCCATCTTTTTCAACTTCGAAGAAAACACATAGAGATCCAACAATACAACCAAAAATCAATAGAGGGAGCAACCCCACCCTCCACCTTCCAAACCTACCACATGCCTTCGATATTCCAACACCATTAGAACACGAATCCTTACACCGCATCATGCTAACCAAAAAAATCTGAGAAAGAAAGATAAAAACGCCGGCAAACCCCGAAGAACTCATCAAAGAAAAACTTGCTGAAGAAGCCCACTTCATAAAACCTGCAAGAAATTACTTTTTCGGTTTATCATCAGAAGGGGAGAGAAGAACACTGTAGCGATGAAAGCTTCCTGAACTAATCCTTCCGACTATTTTTTACTCTCCATGTTTCTTTTATGTCATCGGCCAAATAACCCATCAAGACCGCACCTTTTAGAGAACCCACTCCACAGTGGGCGCAGAAGCCACAGGAATTCCCTCAGAGGAGGGCAGAAAAGGATAGCGCTGCTTTTCTTTGGATTTTTGAATAACTCTCACCTTCTTGCTCTGCCTCTCCCCTCCTTATCTCTGTTCAGCCCCTAGAACTCATCAAAATTATACCTTTTTTGCACTTTGCAAAAGAATAGGAGAGAAGCCAATAATAAACCAAGTAGCAGAGAAGCGGTGTTAGTTTTATTCCTCAATCCGGGGCAGAAACATTGATCACGGAAGGTAAAAGAGAAAAGCTAAACTGCAGACATACGAAGAGGAGGAAAGAGGATAACTATCTTTCTCCTTCAGCCCCACTCTGCCTCTCTCCTTTTGTTTTTCGTCTCCCTTTCTATAATGAGACTCTTCCTCCCTCTAGAGCTGTAGGTTGGTATGGAGCATTTGTAATTGGCTATTGGCTGCATCATTATCTCATCATCTTTTGTTGGGGAAGAACAGCCAAACGGCCAATTATGCAAATATATATGGCGAAGCTCTTTTTTTTTAATGTTCCCTGAATTTTTATCATTTACTGTTTGTTCAGTGGAAATATTAAATGTGATAATTTCTGCGTAATATTCATATTTTTTAAATATAAATATATTTTTTAAATTTGAACAAATTCAATTACAGCCTTGCTCAACATTTTTTTTTATAGAAAGAATTAGCTCATATTTTCTTACCCTTCTTATTTCTAAATATAAGACATTAATATTATATATGAAATTCTTAATTATTTTAAAATAGAATTAGTTTTAAGAAATATTAGTAATTTAAAATATACCTGATAATTTTCAATTTATAATCATAAGCACAACGTAAGATGTTTAATCAATTGGGTTCACATAAAATTATGAAATAATTTTATTTTATTTTATTGTCATAATTAGTACTCAAAAAAATAATTTTATTTTATTTTATTTTATTGTCATAATTAGTACTCAATCTTGGAGATTATTTTAATTTTGTAATACTCTCAAGCCAATATACTTTTATAGCATAAATGCTTATAATTATGTTACCATCATCTCAAGTTTAAATATTATTATATTCAATCCTAATATATTAATTTACATTATCTACTTTCCTAATTAATCACTTATAGAATAAAAGGAATTTTTCAATGACTCATAAATATACTTTCTTATATTTAGAATTAATTCTTTGATTTTATAAATATGTGCATTGAAACAATAATAACTTATATTGTCATTCAATTTCAATAGATTGTAATAAAGTAACAAAAGATGTGGGGCTATTAAGAATTGAGTTGACATTTTGTTGAGTTTGAACAAGCCAAGTTTAACAGATATCTAAAATTTATTTATTTAGGCGTGGTGAAGACGGACAAAATAAATTCTCATAGTAATTCGATTAAATGACCTCTTACAACGCGTACAGGATGAGACAGAGCAAAGCCAAGCTCACTTGAGTAAACTACAATAAGAATTACAATTTGTGAAGAGTTTAATGAGAAAAAAAGGTATTTATGATTGAGTTGTAAAATGTTCAAAAGAATAAGAAAAGTAAAAACAAGATACTAAGTTTGAGATTGCTTACATCTCAACCCCCCCCCCCCCCCC